CCCCCCGCCAAAAAAATCAAGAGGACTATTTCTAGAAAAAGACAGTTCACATCCTTAGCATCAAAATAGCCCCTTACAGATATTTGGAAAGAACAGGAACATCTTCCCATGTCAATACTCAGCTCAATCTTGGAATCCAAAGGCACCTCCAAAGAGATTCTGGGCGGAACCCAACAGAACCTTCTGTAGAACCCAATTTGATCTCCTGATGTTGGGGGGTCCATCTGGGGTCGTGACTGCTATGCAGCTGTACTGACCATTGTGTGCTCAGCGATAGCTCAGAGTCACTCCTCTGAGCAGATGAGGTCAGGGCATTCCTGTGACACAGGCTATGAAAACACTTCAGTCTGGGACCAAGGGGAGAAGAACAACAAGAGGTTCACCATGTTGACGGCTCTTCCTTGTGTGGTTTACTTCATTATGAAGCCTATATTTGGTGTTGAAGTGCTGACCTAAGCTCGCTAACTAGCCTACTTAACACAAGAAGATAACCATGAGTGCGAAGATTGGGGAACTGATGGAATCCATGAAGAATGTCTATAGATGGGAAAAACAAAACTCCTGAATGGTTAGGGGTGAAAGACGGTCAGCAAATCATTGTTTCTGGCTGGTAAGTGATATTTCTTTTATTCATTAGCCTGTTTAGTGGTGATACAATTTTAATTGGAGGACGGTTTTTATCACCAAAGACAAATGGCAGGACCATGGGGGCTTGTAACCATCTTTCAACTTCATCCCCAATACCCTCTGTCCTGGTTTAGACTTCTGCTAGCCAGGTAAACCAGGAAGATGTCTACATCCTGCTGTGGAGAGGAATACAAGCATTGTTCCTATCTGCTCCCACTCTCTCTGCTACTGTACTAGTTAGCTCTGCCGCCTGACCCTTGGTGGTCCCAAACCCCACACTTCTGAGATCAGTCCTACTGGTTGTAAATGGCAGTGTGTGTTGACTAAGGGAAGCAATGATTCAACAATCCAAATTCTTCCTGCTCCTGTATGAATTTTTCACTTAGACTGTGACTCTCTTATCATTAGGAGCTTTAAGGACATGATGGATTGCTGTTTTGTTCTGCACAAAGCAATCTGCTGCTGAGTCTCCAACCAATATAACATACAGGCAACACAAAGAGGTAACACAGTGGCAGCAACAATAGAAACTCACCTACATCTTGGGGTCTCGGCATCACCGGGTGAACAAGAGGAAGGGCCTCACAACACAGATGAGCCATCCTTTGACTCCAGTCTTTCTTTTTTGGTAGTCAGAAGTTGACTGCAATTGAATAATAGAACAAAAATGAAGCTTCAAAGTCATGGTGTGCTGGTGCTTCTGGGTCCCTTTAAGCAAGAAATAGTGTTAAAGATTCTAATATGATCTAAACTTTGGTCCTTTTTTTTTTTTTTTTTGGTCTTTTAAGAGCATTCAAAACACTCTTGGTTTGACTCTGTTGTCTTAATTTTCACAATCTCTCCCTCTGTTCCTACCTCTGGATTTCTATTAACCCACAAAGGAAAAAAACAGGAGCTGGTTCAGAATCACACGTCCTAAGCCACACACAGGGGTCAGACACTCATGGATTTTGTATCCAGTGTATGGTGTCTCTAGATTAAATATTTTCAAAGGTAATGTGATGCAGGCTCCGCTGCACAGGCTAGTATTTGAGGATGCCCTGGTAATCCTATCAGCTAACTTCATCTCCAAAATGCAGGCTGCCCACAGAAGCCGCGCCTGTAACTAAATACCATTCGGTTTGGCAGCCTGGCTTCATTTTGTCATTGTGGAGTAACAGAAGGGAGACACTGCCATGGAACAACAAATCTATCCAATACTCCCTGGAGAGCCAGGTGGATGTATTATTTATAGTCAAGCTTAGGGTTGTGGTCCTTCCGGGAATGGGCATGAATTTGATGACCAGCTGTTACAAATTATTTATCCTGCAACTATTTTAAAAGCCAGTGGTGGGCGGCGGAGGTGTCTTTTTGAAACTGAGCAAACCAGTATCTGGAGAAGCACCGGCTCTGTATTTTACCAGCAGCCTTCACTTGCTCTTCTTGCTGTTTGGTCATTGCTGTCTCTTAATCCACTGGTGGTCAGCAAATCCTTCTTTCAGCTGTGCTGATGTGGCCATGCCATCACCATCAAGGATGATCCAATTTGTGCTGTAAACCATGGACCTTGCCTTGTGCTTTGGGAACACTAAGAAAATTCTTGTCAATTGGTCTTCTGAAAATAATTCTCATGATAAATTTAAAGATATATAATTTAAAAAACAAACCTCACTGCTCAAACTTCCTCTTTTCCTAAACTTTCCATTTTTTATTATTAATTTTTAAAAATTTGTTCTGATTTGTTAAACTTTCCAATTGAACTTTGACAAATTTTGCCCATCAATAAGAAGGACCAGAATATTTCATAGTATCAAATATTATCCCCTTTTTCTAAAGACATGTCCTCCTCTCCCCTGTCTTCTACCCACTGCCAAAAGGAAGAACACTGATTTGAAAATATAATTTTTAAAAATAATAAGATTTTAAACCTGTGGTACCTGATCTATGCTCTTCAAAATGATTTCTAAAAGTTATGATGTTGATAATAGTCTATCTACACATTAAGGAAAAAAATCAAGAATGAATTCCCCAAATCTCCACACGGTAGGATTACAGGTAAATTTTATTTTCAACTTTAAATTGTTTCTTAAACTATTAAATATCTTTTGAGTATACCTACCAGGTGCAAGGCATTATGCTAGGTCCTGTAATCAAGGAGAAATAATGAAAATAACTAGGAGTGTGGACTTTAGTGCCAGGCTATTTTATAGGTAGGATCTACTACCCAGTAAACTACCATCTTTGGCAAGTTTACTTAATTTCTCTGTTCCTCTGTAAAATATCCTCTATAAAATGAGGATACTAATAGCATTACCATATAGGATTGTTGTGAGCATTACCCAAGTTGATTTTTTATATAAACACTTATAAACTGTGTAAGTGTTTATATAGGGCACTTATTATCTTTAGTGCTGTTCTAATCACTTTACAGAAATTAATTGCAGAGAATCAAGAACACTGCATATTATTACGGTGATAAGTGCCTTGAAGGATAGGAAGAGACTACTGGGAGAAAGAAAGGAGGAAAGGGCCTTCTTGAGATAGGGTAGGCAGGAAAAGAGCTCTCTGAGGACTAGAATTTCAAGTTGAGCCCCAGTGATGCAGAGCCAGCCATGTCAAGAGTCAGGGCAGAGTGTTCTGGGCAGAGTGTTCTGGGCGGAGGGGACGTTGTGTGCGAGACCTGAGGCTGGGAAGGAATTTTGGGATTGGGGAAGTTCAAAGTGTCCCGCCGTGGAGGTGAGAGAAACGGGGTGTTCCATACATATGACAATGGCAATAGACTTATGCTAGTATGTGAAAGTAAGGAGGAATTAATCGTGATTCTTGGACATGCTTTCTGGTATTTTCCAAGTGTTTTAGAATAAAGATAACTCAATAATAAAATGACCCACAAAAAAACAAAGGGCATGAATTAAATATACATATCACTTAAAAATATGAAAAGATGATTATCTAAACATGAAAGGATGGTCACCTCTGTTAGACTGTGCTGTTCTATGCTTTAAACACATTTGTGGTCAGCTAATGGTTATTGACTGTTAAGAACCACAGGTCATATTTGGCCACGCCTCACACAGGAGCCTGTTCCTCCTGTAGCCCTAGGTCTAGAGAAAACCCAGAAAGTACAAAGGAGCAAAGACTCACTCAGATAACATGTTTAGGAAGATAACAGCTTCAGTTTGGGCACCAAGACAACTGCTTTGTCTAGAAGATGCACTGTGCCCCCAAATTGAGCCTTGTCATGAATTTTTATATTTCATGCATAGAAAAAGTCCCTAGTATGGTTCCAGTAAATGGAAAGATGCTCTGAAGTTTAGAACTGGGTGCAGAAGATGCCTGACTTTCATCCTCGCCTCTAGCCTGACCTCACCAGCTGCCTGCATGTATGGGCTTGCAGATGTGCCTGTACACCAGTTTTTCAGAGTAACCCTAGAAAGGGAAATCTTCTGGGCTTTGTACTTGGGAGAAGAGAAGCCCCCCACCCACCACCAACACATCCTGAAGAGGTTGCATTCCCTTTCTTGTGGGAGAGAAAGTAGTCTTCAGCAATTTCTTGGCATCATTTAATAAGCACCTTAGAGCATAAATATAAGATTGGTTCATATTTGCTTATCACAATTCCGTTTTTAAATAGTAACATCTCTGTATATTCTTTTATATAAAAAAGAAAATGAGCTGGGTGCAGTGGGTGCACACCTGTAATCCCAGAGGCTCAAGAGGCTGAGGCAGGAGGACCGCAAGTTCAAAGCCAAACTCAGCAACGGCGAAGCCTTAAGCAACTCAGTGAGACCCTGTCTCTAAATAAAATTCAAAAAAGGGCTGGGGATGTTCCCCAGTGGTTAAGCACCCCTGAGCTCAATCCTCGATACCAAAAAAAAGAAAAAAATGAAATGTCAATTGAAAGTTCATAAAACATTTGAGCAGCAAAAGGCGCAAGATCACCCAGACCAATACCCTCATTGCTGAGCAAGTATTCTGGGGAGCAGAAGGAGGGAATGGCTTTCCTAAAAAGAAGAAAGTTCAGTGTGTAGGGTAAAGCACGTGACCTCACAGTCTTGGGGACAGCAGGACAAGAGTTTGAATCCTGGTACTGCCACTTTCTAGTTTCACAATCTGAGGCACGTTACCTAACTTGTCTGATCCATATTTTTCTACTTTGTAAAATGTGAAATTTTTAAAAGATTGGTGTAAGAATAAAAAGAACGTTTTCTTAGTGCAGTATCTGTCATATCCAATAAATGGTACCCATTACTAAAGAACCTAAGTCCTGGGTCTATAAATCCTTCCCCACCCTCACCCCAATATAAACAAACAATCCTGATGAATGAGCTACTTATATGGAAATTTATACAGTAGTGCTTTCTAACGTAGTAGCAGTGCTTTCTAATGTGATGTGGCTGGGCACAATGGTGCATGCCTTTAATATAGCAGCTGGGGAGGCTGAGGCAGGAGGATCACAAGTTCAAAGCCAGCCTCAGCAACTAATAGGTAGAGCACTGGCCTAGCAAGCACAAGGCCCTGGGTTAATCCCTAGCACTGGAAAAAAAATTTTCATAAAGTCTCTCAGTATTTTAAAGATTGAGCATTTTTGGTTTGTATCTTTTACCTCATATAGATAAAAAATTGAAATATAAGTGTGTTATAAGTTATTCCATGATAG